AAGAGCAACAAAATGAGACTTTGTCTCCAAAAAAAAAGTGTGAGCAGCACCCATACTCAGTGGGTAGAGTGCAGGCCACATATACCAAGGCTGGGGGGTTTGAACCTAGCCCAGGCCAGCTAAAACAACAATGGCAAAAAAACCCAAACCAACCAACCAACCAACAAAAACAGGTGTTGTGGTAGGCGCCTGTAGTCCCAGCTACTCAGGAGGCTGAGGCAAGAGAACTGCTTAAGTCCAAGAGTTTGAGGTTGCTGTGAGCTATGATACCACAGCACTCTACCCAGGGCTCTGTCTGAAAATAAAGAAAGGTGGCTTGGCGCCCGCAGCTTAGTGAGTAGGGCGCTAGCCACATACACCAAAGCTGATGGGTTGGAGCCCAGCCCGGGCCTGCCAAGCAACAATGACAACTGCAACCAAAAAATAGCTGGGCGTTGTGGTGGGTGCCTATAGTCCCAGCTACTTGGGAAGCTGAGGCAAGAGAATCTCTTAAGCCCAAGAGTTAGAGGTTGCTGTTAGCTGAGATGCCACGGTACTTTATCAAGGGTGACATAGTGAGACTGTCTCAAAAAAAAAAAAAAAAAAAAGGAAAAAGACAAAAAAAGAAAAAAGAGAAAGTGGTGTCTGCACTTTTTCTCCACTCTCCTTATCTAATGAGTAAAGGATGTAGCTGTTCACAACTGCAACTTCCATCAGCCAGAAAAGTATTTTTTTCCACCATTTGTAGGACCTCCTTATAAATCCATAATATCCATAGTACTGACCAGCTCTGTCCACTCTTCCCATAAACTTTGTGTATTCTAAAATAGTTGCTGGTTTTTCAAATTGAACAAACTGTTTTTTCTTAGAACCAGTAATCAACTGTGTTTGAAGGCCAAAGAATGTACTCAGCATTGTCACTAACCTCTGTCGTGGAATGAGAAGCACATTATTTTCATACCATATTGATAGGCACATAATTCTTATTCCTGAAGTTTCTTCTTTTTCAGATCACTTGGAAAATCCTCCCTAGAAGAACTGTTATATATATTTTCATTGTATGCAATTCTCAAGCACGTTGAGTGCGTGTAGAACCTGTCAGTGTAGATGTGATAGTGTGAACTACTTGTGCCAAATGAATCCCTCACTATTGAAGACATAACAGACAAATCAGGGCACATAAGACTTTCTGTTGGGGTGGCGCCTGTGGCTCAAAGGAGTAGGGCACCCGCCCCATATGCTGGAGGTGTCAGGTTCAAACCCAGCCCTGGCCAAAAACTGAAAAAATAAAATAAAATAAACCCACAAGCCATCTATTAAAAAAAAAAAAAAAAAGACTTTCTGTTGTTGTCTTGCCAGAATAGGGAATGTGAGAAAACACATAACCATTTTCTGAATAACACAGGCAAAAAATTCCTAGGCCCCACTTTGTAGGCTTCTTTGGATTGTAACACTTGAGTTGAATCCTTCCTTTGAAACCTACTGTGCTCTCATCTATAGCCACATTTCTTCCCAGTACACAAAGTTCTCTGCATTTGTTGTCAACATACTGGCCAGGTGCAATGGCTCATGCCTGTAATCCTAGCAATCTGGGAGGCTGAGGCAGGTGGATAGCTTGAGCTCACGAGTTCAAGACCAGCCAGAGCAAAAAGCAAGACCCTATCTCTACTAAAAATAGAAAAACTGAGGCAAGAGGATTGCTTGAGACCAAGGGTTGGAGGTTGCTGTGAGCCATGACGTCCTGTCATTGTACCCAGGGTGACAGCTTGAAATTCTGTCTCAAAAAAAAAAAAAAAAAATTAGTGGGTGGGGCCTGTGGCTCAAGGAGTAGGGCGAGTAGGGCGCTGGCCCCTTATGCCGGGGTGGTGGGTTGAAACCTGACCCTGGCCAAATAAAAAAAAAACAAAACATTAGTTATAATCCTTTAGGTAAATGAAGGTATGTAAGAACAGAACCCACTGCTGAAAAATAACACAGGGGATAACCATTTGTGACTTCTGAGACTGTTCTGTAAACTATGATTTGTGAAGATTCAAGCTGGGGGGTCACCCTAATATACCTTTGACTTCCAAAAAATATGCTCCACCTCTTTCCATAGCTTCAGTGATGAACTACCAAATATTTTCATTTGGCCTTCCCAGATCCATTCTAAGCCCTGTCCTGGGAAGCTGGCCTAAAGGGATGCACTGCCTTATTTCTCCTGCCCTCTGGCAGTCAGCTAGGTTTGCTAAAGGGAAACATCAGCAGAAGATCTAAGGGCATGAGGATGGTGAAGCTGAGGTATTTATTCCCTCTGTCTTCTCCTTACCCAATGGAAGGGCCTACAGACACAGCAGCTATCAAGTGATCCCTCCCTGATGGCTATCAGGTTCTGATAACAGCTCTCCTCTCCCCCTTGTTCCTTTAGGCTTCCATGCCGTAACAGCTTGTTACTAGTGTCTGGGGCAGTGCTATCCCTTACTGGTTCACTCATACTATCTACACTTCCATGAACAGTTCCTTTTAAACTCATTTCAAATGACCCTTCAAGAGTTCCACACTAGGACCCTGGCTGAGAAAGCTGTACCTGGGGAAGGAAAAGGAACTACTTCCACCTGGCAGTTTGACCAGTTGAGTCGATCTAGGAATCACCTCATAGCCAGGAATTACAAATTATTCTGTTTCTTCAACCACAAAGGCCTGGTGAATTGAGCAGGAGCCTGACAGATGGCCCTTACCTTGAATCTTTCTTGGATCTTGAGTGAAATCTTGCTCCTCACCAGTCTCTTGGATGTATAGGGGCCCCCAAGATTCATACTTGTGACTGGTCTCCACTGGCTGTGGCTGCACACTACTCAGGGATTCCTTTATTCCTCCTGAAGATGACATCTTCTCCCACACCTGTTTCTGTTCATTTGGAGGAGTTGAGACCTAGAAACAATTAGGAATGGCTGGGTTAGTGCACAGCTCACTTAGAGAACTAGAATAAAAATCTGAGGACAGTTATATAGAACCTTTAGGAAAGAGAAAAGAAAAACATCCATGCCATTAATTCCCAAGGCTAAAGGTTAGTTTAGGATAACAGAAAAATAGGAGCAAACACGGTCTAACCCAGTAGAAACTTCCACTGAACTAATCTTGTTGTATGGAAAAACTTTTGGTCTACTGGAACATTGTGCTCCCAATCTCCTAGAATAAGAAAGGTTTTCCCCTGCCTACCTGGTGGCCTGGTTCATCGAGTTCCCGCTCCAGATCTTCAAGGAGAGTGACAGCCTCTTCAGCGCTCTCTGGGCTGTGCTCCTGCACCCAGGCTTGGAGCTCCTGGGGCAGAATGGTTAGGAACTGCTCCAGCACCAGCAGCTCCAGAATCTGCTCCTTAGTGTGGATCTCAGGCCTCAGCCACTCACAGCACAGCACACGGAGTTGGCTCAGGGCCTCCCGGGGCCCGGGAGTGTCATGGTACCCAAACTGCCTAAATCGCTGGCGGAACATCTCCAGGCTAGGAAGGCATTTCCCTTTCTCTTCCTCCTCAGCTTTCACAATCACTGGCCCCAACTGCTCCTGTGGAGGCCTCGGGCTCAAAACAGTGGCCATGCTCAGCACCTTGGTCATAATATTAACTCCAAAACAGCCTCACTAAAGATGGGACTCTGTGCAGCAGGAATATTGGTTCCTTTGGGCTTCTGGTTCTTTAAGGCCACACGTTTAACCTAAGAAAATATAGTAACCATAAAATTATCAAAAAGGACTGTCTTTTGTTTTAATCTTCATGACCTTACAGTAAGCACAAGAAATTGTGAAAATTATGGCCACCATAGAACTATCATGTAAGAGTGACTGTCTGGAATCACTTCAGCATATCCTACTTTGATTTTACTCTGTTTCTACTCTCCTAAAAGTACAGTGTGGTACAATTTTAAGATTAACTTTAGTTAAAATCTTGTTTCAAGATCTTACAACTATAGATATCCTGGTTGCTGAGATTTCAACAAGTTATCTGCTGGCTAGACATCATCTGCTTAAACCTAAGCCATTTAACTTGAACATTAAACATTTACTAGTCAAGGGCGGTACCTGTAGCTCAAGGAGTAGGGCACTGACCCCATATGTCAGAGTTGGTGGGTTCAAGCCCAGACCGGGCCAAAAACTGAAAAAAAAAAATAAAATTTACTAGTCAAATGACTGAGTTTGTCAGTATGACTGGGTGTCATGTTAGAATGGTGGAATTTACTAGTCTATTCAAAAATAATTTAATTGAGTATAGGCTGGGCATCGTGGCTCAATCCTATAATCCAAGGATACTCTGGGAGGCCGAGATGGGTGGACTGCCTGAGCTTACAGTTCGAGATGAGCATGAGCAAGAGTGAGACCCAGCTCTAAAAAAGATAGCTGGGTTTTGTGGTGGGTGCCTATAATCCCAGCTACTTGGGAGGCTGAGGCAGAATTGCTTGAGCCTGCTGTGAGCTATAACACTACAGAACTCCATTGAGGGCGACAAAGTGAGACTCTGTCTAAAAAAAAAAAAAATTGAGTATACTTAGTGATGTAATTTTTTTTTATTTTTTTTGAGACAGAGCCTCAAGCTATCCCCCTGGGTAGAGTGCCACGGCATCACAACTCACAGCAATCTCCAACTCCTGGGCTCAAGCGAGTCTCCTGCCTCAGCCTCCCAAGTAGCTGGGACTACAGGCGCCCGCCACAACGCCTGGCCATTTTTTGGTTGCAGCCATCATTGTTGTTTGGCGGGCCCGGGCTGGGGATTCGAACCCGCCACCTTAGGTGTATGTGGCTGGCGCCTTAGCCACTTGAGCCACAGGCGTTGAGCCCTTAGTGATGTAATTTTGAGCTTCCCTTGGCCCATTTAAGTAGGGCATCCTGAAGTTTTTAAATGCCCTTTATCTTTTTACAGAAAGGAAGATGTAATATAGACAGAATAGACTAAAAGTAGTATACCCTTATTGAGGCATTTATTTTGATAAGATACATGATTTTTTGAGAAGTGACAAGAAAAATATTAAATCAAAATAAATGACACAAACACAGCCAGGAGTGGTGGTTTAAGCTTATAACCCTAGCACTTTGGGAGGTCGAGGTGAGACAACTGCTTGAGGACAGGAGTTCAAAACCAGCCTGAACAACATAGTGAGACTACATCTCTACAAAATTTTTTTTAAAAAGTTAGCTGCGTTGTGGTAGCATGCACTTGTAGTCCTATCTACCCAGGAGCCTGAGGCAAAAAATGTTTAAAAGTATTTTATTGATTTATTTTTTTGAGACAGAGTCTCACTTTGTTGCCCTGAGTAGAGGCCTATGGTGTCACAGCTCACAGCAACCTCAAACACTTGAGCTTAAGCAATTTTCTTGGCTCAGCCTCCCAAGTAGTTGGGAATACAGGAGCCGGCCACAACACCTGGCTATTTGTTGTTGTTGTTCTTGCTGTAGTTGTCATTGTTGTTTAGCCGGTCTGGGCTGGTTTTGAACCCGCCAGCCCCAGTGCATGTGGCCAGCGCCCTAACCACTGAGCTATGGGCATGCCCCCAAAATATTTCTTTTAAATTTTCAATTTTCTAACTCTTTTGGTCAGTTAATACATTAAAATACCAAAACATATAAACATAATTACTTCTATTTTCTTCATTTGCCAAAAAAGTGAAGTTAATTCATTTAACCTTTATTGAACACCTGCCCCAGGCTTGGTGCCAGGGCTGCAGTGAAGAATGAGACAGATACACCCCCATCCTCATGCAGCTCTCAAATTGGTGGAAGAGATGGAAAACTAATGAGTGAGCGGACAACATAATCAGTGTATCATTATTAGAATGCCTCATTAAACATACTTTGAAAGAAAAATACATACATTAATGAGTCTTACATACTTGTGACTGGTCTTCTGAGCACATTTTCAAACTTTAAGCTCCACCTTTCATGTTACATAGTATTCTACACTAGAGGTGGATAATCTAGCGCAGGAAAATTCTGGTAGTCTTAATAAAGAGAAACAGACGAAAATCTACAAGCCAGAAGAGGAACAGTGGTTTATACTTTGGAAAAGTGAGGCCAGAGGATCACTAGAGGCCAGGAGTTAAAGACCAGCCTGAGCAACCTAGTGAGACCTCATCTCTACAAAAAACTAAAAAAACTAAAAAAAATTAGCTGGGCATGGTCACACACGCCTATAGTCCTGGTTGCTTGGAAGACTGAATCACTGAACCCAGATGTGGAGGCTGCACTGAGTTATCCACTGCACTCCAGCAGTCTGGGTGCAAAACAAAAAAAATCTATATAGGTATTTGTTACATTGGTAACAACAGTAAAGACTGTCCCAGTTACTCGGGAGGCTAAAGCAAGAGAATTGCCTAAGCCCAGGAGCTGGAGGTTGTTGTGAGCTGTGACTCCACAGCACTCTACCGAGGGTGATAAAGCGAGACTCTGTCTCTACAAAAAAAATAGCAAAGACCATAAAGAGGATCTATACGTGGCTTATAAAAACTGAAGATAAAGAAATAAGAATTGTAGACAATCTAAATCTAGGGCAGGAGCTGGGCGTGGTGGCACATGCCTTTGATCCAAGCTACTTGGGAGGCCAAGGTGGGTGGGTTGCATAAACTCAGGAGTTTGAGACCAGCCTGAGAAAAACAAGACCCTGGTCTCCACTAAAAATAGAAAAATTAGTCAGGTGTTGTGGTAGATGCCTATAGTCCCAGCTACTTGGAAGGCTGAGGTAAGAGGACTGCTCAAGTCCAAGAGAGTTTGAGGTTTCTGTGAGCTATCATGCCACCCATGGTACTCTACCCAGGGTGACAGACTGAGATTCTGTCTCAAAAAATAAACTAAAACCCATCATTCTTTGGTCAAATAAATCTGTACCCAGTATACTACTGGAAAGTCCAAGGTTAGGGATATTTGAAAACTGAACCAGTGGAAGAACAATGTCATCTAATTTTCTAAAATAAAGGCATGAACACCAAAGGCTAAAACAAGAAATTAATAGAGGTGAAGTGCTAGAGAGCATTCCTTAGAAATATTTAAAAGGGACCATCTGAGTGGTAGGATTAACTTAACACAACTGTTACAAAATGTCATTTCCTATCCAGAGGACACCCCAACAGTAAAGAAACCTGTTTGGGCCATTCAGCTTCTGTAATCTAGCCTAGGAAATTTAGCACGACACTACAGGTTACACAGTACCCAGCCACATCAAGCAGAAAGCATCACATAGCAGTTTAACATCCTGGGATGTGGGATATGTTCTAAGAACCTGGTGAATCCAAATTCACAGATGCCACTGTTGCTAGCACACGATTACCTCTGCAAAATAGGTACACAGTCACAATTACAAAAGAGAAAGTTTCCCTAGATGTTGCTGCTGGCAAGTTGGCTAGGTCAGCTCCCCAGCTAAACCATTATCCCGGCACATCAGTTTTGCAGCACACACAATTCAAATGCATAGTGCAGCAAGACCACAAAGAAGGAGAGGGCTAGGTGCATAGGCCCCTTCCTCCACACTGCACTTGCTCTCTTTGGTGATTTCATCCAGTGCGTGGCGCTAATAACTATCTGTATACTTACCACTGCCCAACCTGTACCTCCAATCTGGACCTCTCTTTCTTCTGAACTCCAGACTCATATAACCAACTACCCACTTGACATTGCCACCTGGATGTCCAACAGGTATCTCTAGCATAAAATGTCTAAAATGGAATTTCCCATCTTTTCCCCCAATGCTGCTCATCTCAGTCAATGGTAACTCTACTGTTCTGTTTACTTGGCCAAAAACCTGGAGTCATCTTTGACTCCTCTTTCACACTCTACATATAAACTAGGAGGAAATCGTGTTAGTTTTATGTCCACAACATATTTGGAGTTCAACTACATCTCACTACCTCCCCACACTACTGTCTCAGTCTGTCATCTTTGGACTAAAGCACTGCAATGGCCTAACTGCTCGCTTCAGTCTATTTGCAACAGAGCAGTCAGAGGGAGCTTGTTAAAATACAAGTAAGGGTGAGTGTGGCAACTCATGTCTGCAACCCTAGCATTTAGGGAGGCTGAGGCAGGACAGTGGCTTGAGGTCAGAAGTTTGACACCAGCCTGGGCAACAGAGTGAGACCCTGTTTCTATAAAAAATAAAAAGAAGCAGGAGGATCACTTGAGCCCAGGAATTTGAGGTTGCTGCGAGCTATCATGAGCCACTGCACTTCAGCCTGGGCAACAGAATAAGATCCTGCCTCAAACAAAACAAAAATCCCCAAGTCAGACACCATCACTCCTCTGCTCACACCCTTTAGGTCTTCTTGCTTCAGAGAGGAAAAGCCAAAGTCACCACAATGGCTAAAAGAGCCTCACATGATCTCAGCCCCATTACCTCTGATCTCATCTTGTACTTCTCCCCCTCCTATTCATTCCACTCCCCCACACTGTGCCTTGAATATGAAGGGTGGGGAACACACTCCCACTTCATAGCCTTTTTTTTCTTTGAGACAGAACCTCAAGCTGTCCCTCTGGGTAGAGTGCCGTGGCATCACAGCTCACAGTAACTTCCAACTCCTGGGCTCAAGCGAGTCTCCTGCCTCAGCATCCCAAGTAGCTGGGACCACAGGCACCCTCCATAACACCCGGCTATTTTTTGGTTGCAGCCATCATTGGTGTTTGGCAGCCCAGGTTGGATTCGAACCTGCCACCTTAGGTGTATGTGGCTAGCGCCTTAGCCGCTTGAGCCACAGGCGCTGAGCCCACTTCATAGCCTTTGCACTTGCTGTTTCCTTTGCTTAACTCTCCGCCTCCAGACTCCATATACCTCACTCTCTCATCTTCTTCAGGTCTGTACTCAGCAGTTACCTTCCACAGAGGCATCCTGGTCACCTGTTTTAAATTGCATACTACCCTTTCTCACCCCAGAACTCCTGAGCCCCCTACTCTGCTCTTTTTCTCCACATCACTTATCATCCTACAATATACTATATACATACACCCTGTATGTTCAACTTTTTTTTTTAGACAATTTCCTTTTTTTTTTTTTGGTTCGGGGCCAGGTTTGAACCCACCACCTCCAGTATATGGGACCTGCACCCCACAGGTGCTGCCCTAGGCAATTTCCTTTGGTGGGGCACAGGGGCTCATGCCTATAATCCCAACACTCTGGGAGGCTGAGGCGAGTAGAGCACTTGAGCTCAGGAGTTCACGACCAGACTAATCAAGAGTGAGATCCTGTTTCTAAAAAACAGCCAGATATTGTGGTGGGCACCTATAGTCCCAGCCATTTGGGAGGCTGAGGCAAGAGGATAGCTCAAGCCCAGAAGTTTGAGGTTGCTGTGAAGACTCTGGTCTCAAAAAAAAAAAAAACAAACTTTTTTTGCTTGAGTATCAACTCCGGAGGGCAGAGTCTGTTTTGTGTGCTGCTCTATTCCAAATGTCTATAACATACTCGGAATCTTGCAGGCACTCAAATATTAGGGGAAAGAATGTATATAGATCTCTGAGGTTCCTGTAAAGTAGTCACAACTGTGAAAACGGGTTTAAGAAAAATATTATCAATACAAATTTAATACTGACACCAATATTACAAATTTAAGTTAAACATTTAACAAAAATATGGTAGTATAAACTCATGTTTAGCTTTATATAGATACAGATGGACACAGAATTAGCGAAGTGTCTATATATGGCATAGTACGAACATACTTATTACCTAGCTTTGTTTGCAGTGAAGGCCTGAAAGCAAAGACATCCAGTAGCAATCAGCCCATCCAGTTCCCAGATCCTGGTTTCTAAATAATGTTCTGCAATGAAAAGAACCAAAAATACAGAAAAGTGGCTGATTGTTGGCTAGAGAATAGATTTTACAGTGCCAGAAAGTTTCTAAAGAAACAAAATGATGGGGGCATGTCAAAAGGACACAGAAGCCAACCTTAGAGGGAAAAAAATATACAGATATTATAAAAGTGACTAAATAAATGAAGAAAGAAGAGACAAATCTGCACATAAGAATTTTTAATAATTTCTGTAGATACTCCCCCCACAAGGAGGTGGAGCTTAACTCTTCACCTCTTAAGTGTGGGGTGCATTTACTGACTTGCTTTCAAAGGGCAGAATATGGAAAGAAGTGATGGGAAAGTAAGTAGCATGCAAAATCTGATAAACACTACCTCCCCAGGCAATCAAGGTAAGATCATGATGGTAAGTCATGTCCATGGCACAAACCCTGACATACGATGGGCACTTCACCTCTGTGTCTGCCTTCCCAAAAGCCCCAGACCCTAATCTAACCAAGAAAAATATAACAGACAAACCCAAATTGGGGGACCTTCTCCAAAATATCTCACCAGTATCCTCCTAAACTGTCAAAGTCATCAGATACAAGGAAAGAGTGCAAAGTTATCACTGACTAGAGGACACTAAGCAGACACCAAGACTGATGTAATATGGTGTCCTGTATGTGATCCCAGAACAGAAAAAGGACATTAGAGAAAAATTAGTGAAATCTGAATATACTGTGAAGCAGTACTTGTGGCAGTACTTGTCTTGGCAGGCTTCTATTTGTTTTTCGAGTCTCAGTTTAGCAATTAATCCAAGAAAAAAGATGCTTTAGTTTTAAGAACAAAAATGCAAATTAAAGCTACAACGAAATGATTGCATGTATTAAATTCATCAGGTTAAAGAAATCTGGTAATACACTATCTGGACATTTTTTTCATTCCTGATGCCAGGATAGTTAATTACAATGTACCAATATGAGTTCCTTACTTGTGACAAATAAACACAGTAATGTTAAGATGGTAGCAGTAAGGGAAACCGGGTGAGAAGTGTTATGAGATTTTGTGGTCTGCTATAATCTAAAACTATCCTAAAATAAGATGTTTAGTTAAATAAAAAAATATGGGGGATTAGAGAGAAAAAAAGCAGCTTTGGTTAATGCTGTTTCATTATGGAGGTTTGCTAAGGAGAAATATAGCTGTTAACTTCAACAACACTCATGATTTTAAAGCAGATTCTGAGAGTCAATTGGACATTTAAAAAGTTATAAAGCCCTTTTCTGATTATTTAAAAAAAAAAATGGGTGCCTGCCTTTTCTCTAGGAGCAACAACAGTAACCTTTTCCAACGACTGTTAGAACATTGGCCTATTAAAAAGTTTCTAGCAGATCTGTTTTAAATGTTAACACAAAGCATTTTTTTTAGAGACAGAGTTTCCTGCCGTTGTGTCACAGCTCATAGCAACCACCAGCTCTTGGGCTTAGGTGATTCTCTTGCCTCAGCCTCCCAAGTAGCTGGGACTGAACCTGCCACAATGCCTGGCTATTTTTTTTGTTGTTGCAGTTTGGCTAGGGCCGGGTTTGAACCTACCACCCTTGGTATAT